GTGTTGACTTTCCTGTGATAATATCTGTTACTTATACCCTATAGAGAGGTGTGTGTTGACTATTTCCTGTGATAATATCTGTTACTTATACCCTATAGAGAGGTGTGTGTTGATTTTCCTGTGATAATATCTGTTACTTATACCCTATAGAGAGGTGTGTGGTGACTATTTCCTGTGATAATATCTGTTATTTATACCCCATAGAGAGGTGTGTGTTGACTTTCCTGTGATAATATCTATTACTTATACCCTATAGAGAGATGTGTGTGTTGATTTTCCTGTGATAATATCTGTTACTTATACCCTATAGAGAGGTGTGTGTTGACTATTTCCTGTGATAATATCTGTTACTTATACCCTATAGAGAGGTGTGTTGACTATTTCCTGTGATACTATCTGTTACTTATACCCTATAGAGAGATGTGTGTGTTGATTTTCCTGTGATAATATCTGTTACTTATACCCTATAGAGAGGTGTGTGTTGACTATTTCCTGTGATAATATCTGTTACTTATACCCTATAGAGAGGTGTGTTGACTATTTCCTGTGATACTATCTGTTACTTATACCCTATAGAGAGATGTGTGTGTTGATTTTCCTGTGATAATATCTGTTACTTATACCCTATAGAGAGGTGTGTTGACTATTTTCTGTGATACTATCTGTTACTTATACCCTATAGAGAGGTGTGTGTTGACTTTCCTGTGATAATATCTGTTACTTATACCCTATAGAGGTGTGTGTTGACTTTCCTGTGATAATATCTGTTACTTATACCCTATAGAGAGGTGTGTGTTGACTATTTCCTGTGATAATATCTGTTACTTATACCCTATAGAGGTGTGTGTTGACTATTTCCTGTGATAATATCTGTTACTTATACCCTATAGAGATAATATCTGTTACTTATACCCTATAGAGAAATGTGTGTGTTGATTTTCCTGTGATAATATCTGTTACTTATACCCTATAGAGAGGTGTGTTGACTATTTCCTGTGATACTATCTGTTACTTATACCCTATAGAGAGATGTGTGTGTTGATTTTCCTGTGATAATATCTGTTACTTATACCCTATAGAGGTGTGTGTTGACTTTCCTGTGATAATATCTGTTACTTATACCCTATAGAGAGATGTGTGTGTTAATTTTCCTTTGATAATATCTGTTACTTATACCCTATGTAGAGGTGTGTGTTGATTTTCCTGTGATAATATCTGTTACTTATACCCTATATAGAGAGATGTGTGTTGACTTTCCTGTGATAATATCTGTTACTTATACCCTATATAGAGGTGTGTGTTGACTTTCCTGTGATAATATCTGTTACTTATACCCTATATATAGGTGTGTGTTGTGATACTATTTCCTGTGATAATATCTGTACTTATACCCTATAGAGAGATGTGTGTGTTGATTTTCCTGTGATAATATCTGTTACTTATAGCCTATAGAGAGGTGTGTGTTGACTTTCCTGTGATAATATCTGTTACTTATACCCTATAGAGAGATGTGTGTTGACTTGTGATAATATCTGTTACTTATACCATATAGAGAGGTGTGTGTTGACTTTCCTGTGATAATATCTGTTACTTATACCCTATAGAGAGGTGTGTGTTGACTTTCCTGTGATAATATCTGTTACTTATACCCTATAGAGAGGTGTGTGTTGACTTTCCTGTGATAATATCTGTTACTTATACCCTATAGAGAGATGTGTGTTGACTTTCCTGTGATAATATCTGTTACTTATACCCTATAGAGAGGTGTGTGTTGACTTTCCTGTGATAATATCTGTTACTTATACCCTATAGAGAGGTGTGTGTTGACTTTCCTGTGATAATATCTGTTACTTATACCCTATAGAGAGATGTGTGTGTTGATTTTCCTTTGATAATATCTGTTACTTATACCCTATATAGAGGTGTGTGTTGATTTTCCTGTGATAATATCTGTTACTTATACCCTATATAGAGAGATGTGTGTTGACTTTCCTGTGATAATATCTGTTACTTATACCCTATATAGAGGTGTGTGTTGACTTTCCTGTGATAATATCTGTTACTTATACCCTATATATAGGTGTGTGTTGACTATTTCCTGTGATAATATCTGTTACTTATACCCTATAGAGAGATGTGTGTGTTGATTTTCCTGTGATAATATCTGTTACTTATAGCCTATAGAGAGGTGTGTGTTGACTTTCCTGTGATAATATCTGTTACTTATACCCTATAGAGAGATGTGTGTTGACTTTCCTGTGATAATATCTGTTACTTATACCCTATAGAGAGGTGTGTGTTGACTTTCCTGTGATAATATCTGTTACTTATACCCTATAGAGAGATGTGTGTTGACTTTCCTGTGATAATATCTGTTACTTATACCCTATAGAGAGGTGTGTGTTGACTTTCCTGTGATAATATCTGTTACTTATACCCTATAGAGAGATGTGTGTTGACTTTCCTGTGATAATATCTGTTACTTATACCCTATAGAGAGGTGTGTGTTGACTTTCCTGTGATAATATCTGTTACTTATACCCTATAGAGAGGTGTGTGTTGACTTTCCTGTGATAATATCTGTTACTTATACCCTATAGAGTGGTGTGTGTTGACTTTCCTGTGATAATATCTGTTACTTATACCCTATAGAGAGATGTGTGTTGACTTGTGATAATATCTGTTACTTATACCCTATAGAGTGGTGTGTGTTGACTTTCCTGTGATAATATCTGTTACTTATACCCTATAGAGAGGTGTGTGTTGACTTTCATGTGATAATATCTGTTACTTATACCCTATAGAGTGGTGTGTGTTGACTTTCCTGTGATAATATCTGTTACTTATACCCTATAGAGAGGTGTGTGTTGACTTTCCTGTGATAATATCTGTTACTTATACCCTATAGAGAGGTATGTGGTGACTATTTTCTGTGATAGTAGCTATGTGGTTTGACCCCACGTTCTGTATAGTACACCTGTAAACTGTCACCATGTACGGTTAGAGGAGAGCTATTATGTGTTTACTGTCCTGATGATAAGGTTCACATTGTATTAGCACATTAACTGATGAACTTGTGTCGTAGACATATATAAATGTGATTATGAAAACAACATCATTTTTCATCAACCATCACCCTAATTAACTTATACACATTAATCACTGTACTAACACGTCGGTATAAAGAGTATCATATTTATAAAACATGAGAGGTATTTTATCTTAATTCTTTTTGTGTTGAAAGGTGCTATTCACTTGTATGTTTTTGTACAATCCAATTACAGGTAGTAGATACTGCTGTTGAAGTTTTGTCTCCGGGATTAACTTATTCGTAGAGAGGCACAGTTCGGAATACACATGTACTCGACGTTAATTTCTAAATTGTCGAAATAACAAATCTATTGAATTATGGGGCTAATACAAATCCTTTTCTAGTTTCTTCGTGTTATCATTATCGGCCCCTAGGTTTCAAAATTTTGACTCTTCACATCACTTATGAGTCCTAGAAGGCAGAATAGCTGTATGATACGGTATAATTTTTGATAATATGTTTTGAATTAACTGGTAGCCGGTCTCTATAAAACCTGTCAGATCTGATATCGTTTACTGATAAAGTTGTGTGTGCATGAGGGTTTTTGTTCAGTGACATATCATCCTTTACCTTTACCACTCAGCTAGACATTTTGGGGAAGGGGGCGGGGGAGAGGGGGGAAGCAAAAATAGTAATAACCGTCGGATCCTATAACACCTTTTAATAGAAATTTAGAATTAGATACAATATGCCCCAACAAAGAATCATATAGATATTTCGATCCTTGACTAGACAGTATTCCTGATGGATATTACTGTACTACTATTCTTGTCATCCCCCCCACACACACACACACACTTCCCCCCTTCCTTACAGAAATAAAAGAGAATCTACAAAGTCTAGGTTATTCAACAATACACTACATGGAGTGATAAGATCAGATGAGCGACAGATAAAGTAATCACTAAGGCTTTTCTCTCTCGGGACAATTTAAAATCTTACAGTAAAAAATGATCGGAACAACCTGTTGTATACTTCATACATTACGACCTGGACTCAATCAGATGGTGCCAAAGGCTGTTGGTAAATCGGAAACACTATGTACGGTTGAACGGATACAATTTTTGTTTGTGTCCAGTATAATTGATATTTAATGCGTTGCTTCTGGGTATGAATTTTAAAAAAAAACATGTTTTGTAGATGTCCAATCCATGTTTATACATTTTATCGCATGGGCTTACGAGATCTAGGTGTAATGATATAAAAACAAGAATTGATTTTGCCCCAAGAATGAAATCTTCGATACCGTGCGTATACATATCCCTTTACTGTAACGCGAGAGGTCATTTCTGGTCAACTCATTTGTGGTCAATAAATGCCCGTGGATGAGCTTTTCGTATACATTACAAGATTTAGGATAATTTCCAATGTTAAACAGCATTTCGTTATGTGTATCCACGGCACGGGATCATAAACCGCTATAGACCTAGAAAACCCAATACAAACAGATCTATTTAGTAATTCGTGCTGGTATTTGCCTGGTACTGGGATGTTTGTCAAAGTGAGGAAAGGTTTATTAACAAAACAGAAGTAAAACATTTAACAAATTATAGTGTCCTGATTGTATTTGAATTACAATTACTACATCAAACTAAAATCTACTTTCGGAATGCAAGACCATTAAGCTATATCTAATGGTATAAACCATACATATCCTCCCGTCTAGACAACTAAACTAAAAATAGCATTGAGCAACCACGTGTATATTTAGATATATACACATAAATGGATTATAATTGAAATAAGTAAGCTGAAAGAAATATTTACAGCTTCCGGGATTCGTTTGTTTCGATTGCTATACATAAGACATAGTTAGAAAGTCACTAGCGAAGCACTATATTGCTATAGATAAATCCTCAGTCAGTTGCGTGATAATCTGTTTAACAGCACACTTACAGAACGTTATCAATCAAACGTTTGTACCACATATATTGCATTCTTTTTTCACATATACCATTTGGACATATTCATCGTTTTTGCTGTTATTCGAACTACTATTGGAACGCTTACGTACACAGTATTTGGAGTTTTGATTAAAGTCAGAGCAGTATGTCCAGTTCAGCAGTTTCTTAAACGCTTGTCTAAACTCACGATTGCAATATGCATAGATTACTGGATTGAGACAAGAGTTAAAATAGCCGACCCAGAACAGGATCGTTCCCAAGAGGGGAGGATACTGACATTTTTCTCTACACAAACTAGTAATAAGATACCATGAAAAAAACGGGAAAAAGCATAAAATAAACCCACCCATTATAATACCTAATGTTCTGGCTGCCTTGTGTTCCCGTTTAAGTCTCTTCCTTTCCGATATATCACGAGAATTTCTAGTGCTTCCGGGAATTAACAAGTCACCATTGCCTGTTAGTTCAGTTGAACACACACTCGCAGATCGAATATATTTCTCTTGTTTTCTTGCTTCTTTGAAAATTCGAAAATAAACGAACACCATAATTGTACATGGTACCCAGAACGAGACTGATGAGGACACAACTGCGTATATCCGGTTCACCACGAACTTGCACGAATCAGGGTTTACACTCAGTTCCTGTAAATTTTGATCAGTCGTGTAAAATTGAGAATGGATGGGAATATAGGATATGAGAAGAGATGAAATCCACGTGACAGCAATCATTAAAGCCACTCTCCGTTTGGTGAGTTTAGCTTCGTAATGAAGAGGGTTCATTATCGCGATGTAACGATCGACGCTTATGCAGCACAAATGCAAAATTGACGCCGTGCTAAACAAAACGTCATTAGAATTAAAGATGTCACACATAGTCCTGCCAAATATCCATTTGTCGGTGATCTCCATGCTGGCGTTGAACGGCATGACGACAACAGCTACAAGGAGATCGGCAGCAGCGAGGGAAACAATAAAGTAATTAGTGACCGTAGCCCGTAATTTCTCGAATCGAATCACACTCATGATCACCAAAAAGTTACCCAGGACAGCACTCAACATTACTACTACCATTACAGTCGTTTTCATGATGAGCAGAATAAGCCCGTCTCCGGGTGTTCCCTCGTGGGGCATTAGAGACCCGTTAGTCGATGTGTTGTGCATATCCAACTCCATGTCAGATGATTAATTAAACCGCACTTACACGACAAATGAAGCCGGATGTTCTGGCTCATTTGAAATCCCGTAAAATATAGAACTGCACTTTCAATATTGCAACTTCATGGATGCCAAAAAACTGTAGAATTTATTAACTTGCATAAAACACTTCCGGTATAACTAAGTATTGTTGACTATCTCTCATCAAACGATCTTAAGTCAAGCAAATTTAAAAGTCCCAAGATATTGCTCTGTGCTCATGCACAGCAAACCGTTTAAGACTAAAGGTATATGTCATGAGATCACAATAGTCTATCACCCGAATGATAGATTCAACACTCACTATGCTATACATCAGCCAATCAAACACTTGCGGAGTAACCCAGGCTAGGGATGATGACATCATCAGTCTTGTCATAGATTCTGACCTCGCACGAGATGTCAAAAGACACTGACCTGTCTTCTAGAAAGTTTCACTTATCAAAATAGCAGTCTCTACACTAGCCCGCATTTAAACCCATCAAACCAGAACAAAGTGATCGTATTGCACACGGCTGTGGAGTGTCTTATTGTATATACCTTTACATAGCTACCAGGTCCAACTAGTTGTCGCTTCCTCCAATGGTCATTGAACATTCTATGTACACCAGTGCGTGTAAGCATTGTTTTTCATCGGTACTAACTTACGAGTGTTATATTAGTGTCACATTTCTTCTAGCGTACCCTCCGAAATTATAGTAAATGGATTAAATTAATGCTGTCGGAAACGAGAAATCAGTATCATTAACCAGATTGTCCTTGCTGTATTAGAATTCCGGCCACAATACTATTGTCCTATGTGATGAATTCCGCAGTTCTTTCCCTACATTCAACACCACTGTCCGAGATTACAGCCAAAAGTAGCAGAGTCTAACACTAGATATACCTCTATTGCACCATTTGTGACGCTGTGTCCAATTAACGGTTCGGTCATTAACACGGGTGTCCTAGAGTGCCTGGAGAAATGTATACCACTGTCGCGTGAACACTGGCCTTGACGTTTGATCACATGAAGTTGTAATACATAAATTTAACCAATAAAACAAACACCTCTTGTTTGAGGGATATCACTGCAACGACCGTAACTCTAAACATAGGCCATTAATACAGCTCCATACGGACCTCCTTTCTTTTGATGATTTCTCTGTGATAATAAAGCTATAAACGGAGCCGGATAGCGACCGAGACAGTTCACACATGGCGTCACAGCGGACTGACAGTGTAGACTGTTGTATCAAAATCGAAGACTGGCATTTCATACGTATTGCAGCTAATAGTTGGCCGGGATGTTGGTAATGGCCTTACCAAATGAAACTTACAATAGCATAAATCTGACATGAAAGATGTTTCATAATGGTATTACCGGAAATAGCTTAGTGTGTCGTTTCCATTTACAGTGATAAGGTCTTTAAGTACAGTAAGACATATTTCTATGTTCAGTTAGTCACGTTGACATCTCTACTTACTTACGATAAAGATGACCACAGGGTTTTCACGTGCTGATTCAGATGATAACACATCCATGTCCTCATAATGGAACTGTTATATTTCACAACATTCATTAAGTCTCCACAGTCATCTCCGTCTCATATAATATAACTCACCACCATTAATTTAGAACGCACTGTTGACAGTTTTCGACTTTGCTTAAGCAGTATCTGTACCAGCAAATAACTAATCCAATTTATTTTTTTAATTCTAATGAATTCCGTAATTCTGCAATTTTGTATTTTTTCCACTTTCATCAGGAATTAAACTCTGATGTTACTAAAATCCTTAAAATATACACAGATCAGTTTTGTCATACACAACGCACGTGCAGGTGAGGCTAGAACGTGCATTTGCTACTCACGGAATCGAATGGTTGCTTAATCACACTAGTTCTAATTAATTATTCATAGAATTATTCATACCAACGATTGCTTTTGGATCCTGGTGTTGATGAAACAGTCCCTTTTCTGACGTTTTCATATATGTATGTAACAAAGCCGAAGACATTCAACTGTCCAACCAGCAACCAAAACAGTTCATATGTGAATATAGCTTCAAATCATTTACAGTTTGTCTGTGTTTTGTTTCTAGTCTATAATAAAACCTTATTTGTTCCATATGTTTTTGTTATTGCGAACAAAACAGTCGTCCATCATTCTGAGGGGATCATTCTGGCTCTCGTGGAATTGGCTGGTGTTCATGCTCCGAAAGCTTTTTATCTTCGAATAATTCAGAGCACCAGAGAAGTTTGAAAAACACGTGCAGTGTGAAGATTAATCACTCTCAAATCTCTCCAAAGTGTTGACGACAGAAAATTATTCTGTCAATGTACAAATCCTTTCAAGTCGATTTCATCCGAAAACGAAGAGATACTACCTATACAACTTTATCCTAGAAACAAATGAGAAATTTCGCATTGACACTGAACTCCGATTGAGTGCTTAAGTTCAACATTAAGGTCGATTTCCCCGCGGAAAGTTATCAAACTTTTCCCCTCAAAGATAATACTTTGGATTCATTCAAATTTTGATGATAATGGTTTCATCCTCTGTTAAAAGTTGATTCGCTGTGTAACACGCAGTTAAATGTCGGAAAGTTGAACAGCTTTGAGGGGTTCTATCCTCCTTTTATTTTTAACTCTGTAACGTTTATATTCACAACCACACGAAAAATAAATTGTTACTATAACCTTTCAACGGCAGACTATTCAGCAGCAATTTCGACTTAATTAAAGCAGCCGACAAACTGTAAAACACTCAGTAGTCTACTAAACATGTCCAGAAAACAACAGGTCCTTATTTCAATGTGAAGGGATATATAGTTCACAGTCACGCCAATCTGTTGTGCGAAGCTGTGCACTGTTATCCCAGCCAATACTGTATCACTGCTACCCACAATACACTGACGAATAATGAACACCCAGAAAGCTGCCCTGGACATCCCTAGCTACGCTATCACTGTGCTGTGTCGGATAGCGCGGAAAATTGCTGCTATCCGTGGCTGCGGAGGCTGGCCGATCCAACGTTCAGTACATATAGCAGCGGTTGAGGATTGATTGGCAGGTCCGTCCTTCATATATCTACAGCGTACCTAAACTCTCCAACACCTGTAGTAAAAAGTTTCTGAAGTTGTAAAGACTCGGAAAATACGAAGACCTCTTTCACATATGTGCAATTGGCAAAACAAATTGATCGCTTTTTCATATGGCAGGATTTTAATGTAAACACAAATACTAGTCATATGTGATGAGAACGTAAAATGAGATATCACTTATATAGACTGTCCCAGGTTATTCACATATTGCATCGGAGATACTGCTATTAAACCCGTGACCATTTGACTGACCTGTACCAAACAGTATTCAGTGGGTTATGTAAGACATGTGGTCAGTTATCTGTAGAACTATTGACTTGTATAACAGATAGTGTAGATAAACAGCAGATTTAACGTAGACAGACGACACCACAGACTATCACGAGTTAATTTAGACATAAAACACAGTGACCTAAAGAGAATAAAGAGATTGAATTTCCGACATATCATCGTTACTGTGTGTGAAGTGTTAACTTGATCATGAAGTCACCCTGGGGAGACACCCGATACCAAGAATGCCAAGCTGAATTCTCTTTTTATATTTTGTAGGTACATATTTAATGATGTCTTGGGTATAGCGATCCGGTAAATAGCTTATGTTGGTAGGGGCAAACCTACCCCATCTGCGTTTTAATTCTTAAGAATAGATTGAAGCATGGTGATTTTATTATCGAAGGTATATTATGTTTCCATTCACGGAACTTCATTTAGTATAATTTTGCCGGAGTGAGGTTACCTCGAATGATTCCAATCATTATATATAAACTATTTATGCTGCCGTCATTCTAGTGAAAAATCGGTCATGGACTTCAGCTTTTAACGCTAACACAATAAAATACATCGCTAACTTTCAATGAGCTCACTTAAAAACAGTAATACTGGAACAATGACAGTTTTAAATCGACATATCAAACCATCCAAGATATTCTTATTTAGTGTTTCTTTATGATCTATGATTAAATAAATGCTGATTCTGCGGCTGCTGCTGCTGCTGCTGCTGCTGCTGATGATGATGATGATGTAATGATGATGATGGTAATGTTGATGATGATGATGGTGATGATGATGATGATGATGATGATGATGATGATGATGATGATGATGATGATGGTGATGATGATGATGATGATGATGATGATGATGATGATGATGATGGTGATGATGATTGCGGCCGTGATTTCGCCTGTGTTATTGTTCTGTGGTAAAGGTTATCCTATTCCTGTCTATGGTCAGGGTTGTACATCTAGCTTTACATACTACGACACTATTCCATGTAACGGTGATTAATCTGAAAGTTTCGTTTGGTAAACTCCATCGTATCGTAATTGATGGGTATGTTGGATTTAGACACGCGTTTACCGGCTACATATGTGGTGCTATTTATAGAAACAATGAGCTATTTTAAGGAAACAAATCTTACTCGTATCTTCTAAAGCTGTCAGTCCAGCAGCATTCCTAAAGAATTAAGGGTAACGATAAGGTTTCCAAATCTCTTCAAATAAAATAGTTTTATAAGAGATTTTTACTGAACTATTCGTTCTTAAGTTGACTGGTAGTAAAGGGAATATGTTTATATCATCACTGACATCTGAGCATTGTGAAGCCTTTCAAATGTTGACTAGCGAACTAGCGCAGTTTTTATCAACTGCTGTGAGATGTGATTTACATGATAGAAAACATAATTTACTCATTAAGCACATTTTATAAGCCGAGTTCTGTCCGAGCAGCGTTTGTTAAACTACAAACAAGGGAGCCTGTTATTTGATACAGACTGTTGGTATACACACGCGACACACAGCACACGTACAAGGAACAAGTTTAGAAATCAGGCCCAGCATAGCCAGTAATGAATTAACTACATCATACCATTGTCTCGTCCTTCCAGGATTCGTCATTGTTACCAGACCCTTAACTATTGAAACCTGACAGACTGCTGTAGAAAATTTAAAAAAAAAGCTGTAACAAATTTTATCATATAATAAAATATTGAGTGATAAAAAGAAAAGGAATAAGAAGATGTCAAGTCGGCATTACAAATCCTATAACGACAGCCAGCTTCATTTTTGAAAATCTTCGCCATTTTTGTATCCAAGCACATGTCCGCGTGAAAAATATTGGTTTCATTAAAGAAAAAGTAATAGCCAGGAGCTAGATACATTTGTGTTTCGGTGTGGATACTCCAAAATAACTACAGACTGTGAAGATAAGACGAAATATAAATAAACAAGTCGAGTGGTCAAAAGGAGAAAGGGTTGATGTCCTATTGCTAAGTAGGTTTGGGTAGAAAATACTTCAAAGGTGAAGACATGGTGAAAAGTTCAAATTAGTGGTTCATGGTACATTTATGAAAAATGTCTGTGTCGTTTATGTATGGTGGAAGGTATCCAGAGAAGTTGTCCGTCCTGGCTACTTATCTTGTTTTAATTAGCATGTGTTTGAAATAGATTCCCTATAACAGATGGTATAGAATTACTAAATGGCTATTATTTACGGTTGTATGCTAAATGCAGCGACTTTTTTTCTCCGAGCGCGGACATTGTTTTGTTAGTAAACGACATGGGTCACGTAATGGAGACCAGGGTATGCTCTTGTCTTCTTTATATTATTTTTACGACATGAAAATTTTTAAAATCCCGTTTGGAATGTCTACATATATATTTGATAATGAGTAGAACAGTTGTTTTTTATTATGCAAGGAATTTACTTTAATAATCTGGAAGTGAATCTAAAGGATTTTTCAACAATTATATATCTTTGGTAGTTATTGTAAATATATAATTCAAGTTTAATTAAAGAGAAAATGATGATCTAAGATTCCACAAAACGTATATGCGAAAATAATATACATTTGTATCGTATATCTATTACTTATAGGATTGACGGTGAAGAAATCTACACCATTCAGCTATTTCATCGCTCTTTACGATTTTAAGTAGAATTGTCACACATGTATTAATTACTATGATGGCCAATTCATAAAAATCCTTTTCTTCAAGCTGAATAAAAGATGTTTATTATAAATCTACTGATTGCTACTTTCGGGGATTATTTTTTGACATCTACTGTAAAATAAACGGTTTTATAAATTGATCAAAAGTCTTGCGTTGTGAGTTAATGAGATAATTCTAAAATTTGAGTCTCTCAGATTACCTCCCAAATATTCTACAAATTAGGATTTTTTTATTGCTATGCGATACATCAATATCAACGTTACTTTGCTATCTTGTTAAATTAGAATTTGGAATCTGTACAAAATCTCGATCGATAGGAATCTTGCTATAATAACTCTACATAGAACTAACCTGTTCGCATACTCAGTAGCTATCCTATTGACAGCTTCAGCAGCTGATTATTTTCTCCTGGTGTTCGGGTCAGGTTGATGTCTGAGGTTACGCCTTGTGTCTATTATATTACTCTACACACTTACCTGTAAGTCACGTTAAGAAGATTTATACACTGAACCAAAAATACGTATCTGTCATGTGAGGTTCTCATAGGAGCTTGGTTGTGGAGGTTTTCTAGTGCTAATATAAAAAAAATCTTAGCTATCATACCCATTATTTCACAATAAGTCAAAGTCAAAAGGAAAAATGCATAACTTTAAAATCACATACAAGTGGAAACACAGAGTTAGTGTTGTTATTTTAAAGTTTGTACACCATTCGGGCACTAGGTATACACAGAGTTAGTGTTGTAATTGTACACCATTCGGGCACTAGGTATACACAGAGTTAGTGTTGTCATTGTACACCATTCGGGCACTAGGTATACACAGAGTTAGTGTTGTCATTGTACACCATTCGGGCACTAGGTATACACAGAGTAGGTATACACAGAGTGTTGTCATTGTACACCATTCGGGCACTAGGTATACACAGAGTTAGTGTTGTTATTGTACACCATTCAGGCAATAGGTATACACAGAGTTAGTGTTGTTATTGTACACCATTCTGGCACTAGGTATACACAGAGTTAGTGTTGTCATTGTACACCATTCGGGCACTAGGTATACACAGAGTTAGTGTTGTCATTGTACACCATTCGGGCACTAGGTATACACAGAGTTAGTGTTGTCATTGTACACCATTCGGGCACTAGGTATACACAGAGTTAGTGTTGTCATTGTACACCATTCGGGCACTAGGTATACACAGAGTTAGTGTTGTCATTGTACACCATTCGGGCACTAGGTATACACAGAGTTAGTGTTGTCATTGTACACCATTCGGGCACTAGGTATACACAGAGTTAGTGTTGTCATTGTTATTGTACACCATTCGGGCACTAGGTATACACAGAGTTAGTGTTGTTATTGTACACCATTCGGGCACTAGGTATACACAGAGTTAGTGTTGTCATTGTACACCATTCGCCATTCGGGCACTAGGTATACACAGAGTTAGTGGTATACACAGAGTTAGTGTTGTTATTGTACACCATTCGGGCACTAGGTATACACAGAGTTAGTGTTGTTATTGTACACCATTCGGGCACTAGGTATACACAGAGTTAGTGTTGTCATTGTTATTGTACACCATTCGGGCACTAGGTATACACAGAGTTAGTGTTGTCATTGTACACCATTCGGGCACTAGGTATACACAGAGTTAGTGTTGTCATTGTACACCATTCG